AAAGGGTTGTCAGGCTCTGGAATGGGCTGCCCAGGGAGGTGGTCGAGTCTCCATGCCTGGAGGTATTTAAAAGAAGGATAGATGAGGTGCTTAGGCACATGGTTTAGTGGTGGGATAGCAGGGTTAGGTTAAAGGTTGGACTTGATGATCTTAAAGGTCTTTTCCAACCAAAGTGATTCTATGATAGATCTCTTGGCAATCAGTTTAACTTGAGGATTTAGTATTGCATGGAATGGAAAAATGCTAATAAAGGGGAGTCTGAGCTATGAGCAGGGGTCATGCCAGCACCAACCCATTCTGTATGCCAGTGCAGTAGGGAAAAAGTCAGACCTGGAAACGTGCAAGTCACAGACTACTTGAGTTCTGAACCAGGACAAATTCACTCTGCTTTTAATGTGCTCCCTGATGGGGCACGGAAGGGTTGGTTGTTTGGGGATTATTTTTTTTTGTTATTATTGTGCTTTCTTTGGTTAGTTGCTATTTGATCAACTGTATCTGTGCCTTAGGAACCAGTTTCATCACTATTGGCAGATTAAGTTTACAAGTTCAATGGCATTTTCTCTGTAGTTTCCTCTTCAGATGTTTTCCATTACAGAGCAAGCCCTCAGCCCCCTCCCCACTGCCCCACAGATGACCTTTGGAAGGAACAGCTTTACCAACATTTGCTACACAGCTAGAGCAGTTTAGCTGAACAGCAAAGCTGATGGGAACTTAAATTAACAGCATTGTCATAGAACTTCCAAAGGAGATGAGAGGAACAGGTTCCTAAAAAGGCAGCGATGAAAGTGCACATGTAGGATGGATGGCATTCTTTGAACATCCCTCTCTTGTCCATGGCTTAATATAGCATCATAAGTCAAAAAAATTAAACTGTTCTTTTATGTATTTCTCTTTTGATGATCTTTCCCATCTATTTTGATTGCTATCAGCTGGGGAACGGGAGCCCAAACCTCCTGGTGTGTTAGCAGGAGCAGTGCTTTGCATCAGTGACTGAGGCTGAGATAAGCAGGTGGGGAGAGTGAAGGGTATCTGTTTCCTACTAGCTGAAGGCAGTAATGCTCTCTCTTCTGATTAAATCAGGAAAAAACCCTGCAAGTACTTTGAACAAGGGAAAGGAACTTGCCCATTTGGAGGAAAGTGTCTTTACCTTCATGCTTATCCAGATGGGACACGAGCTGAACCTGAAAAACCACGGAAGCAGCTCAGCTCAGAGGGGACTGTGCGGGTAAGGGAATAATTACACAGTCACGTGTAATTAAAAAAATGTTTTGAATGTAAAGTCTGCTACTTAAATATGTTTTGTACCATGCATGGCCTTAGAGAAGTGAAGAAAGCATCCCTCAATTGTCATTGAGGCACACATTTGTCATTATGGGGAAGGAGAAGGCACCTTTCATTTAATAGCAAATATTTATTATCGTTTATTTTTCAAAGGCAAACCTTTCTTCAAAGGAATTCTGCTGTTACAGTTTTCACCTGCAGTATTAAAAATGTCATCTTGCTTGCCTGCATACAGCTGGTGATGAGACCAGCTCAAACAGTTAAAGCCTTCTCCAAAACGCATGGTAGTGTAGCCACCACCCGGAATGGTCAGGGCAGGCCTACCGGTGTAACAGCAGATGTTGTTGAGGGCATCACTAAACCCTAGCATGAGCCCAGCTTTTGAATCTTGACTACTTTTTTTTTTTTTTTTTTAAATGAAGAAATAAGCCTGGTAATGGAAAATACTTTGATGGAACTGTGACAATTCTCTTCCAGTTCTTCAACTCTGTTCGGCTGTGGGACTTTATTGAAGACAGAGAAAGCAGGACTGTGGCCAGCACAGATGATGAAGTAACAGAACTTGGAGAACTTTTCATGCACCTTTCTGGGGCTGATGAGGATTCTGCTACTTCTTAATAAAGAGAACTAAAGGTGCTGTCTTCTATAGCAATCCAGCTATTTATTTAGCGATGCTTCTCCTTTCTGCAGCACCGGTAGAGCGAATGTGCCCTGTGGTTTACTTGTGCAGTCCTGGTAAAGTTTTCAGATAGTTTTTTGTATGGCAACAAAAAATACTAAAGTAAATTTAAAAAGTTAAATTGATTGCATGGAAAAAAAAATCCCTGAATTGCAAGGGGGTTTTCTCCCTCTTTGGCCTAGTCAATGCTGTTTTGTGAGCTGAGTGGTAGTGTAAATACAGCTCCTCTCTTATCAGTTAAAGCTTAAGCTGTTAAAAACTTGCTAAATCTGTTCTGGGTGCTTTTTTCTTTTTTTTTTTTGGCTTTTTTCCACTGAAAGCATATCTACAAAGACCCCACTTGAATAATGGTCAGTGTAGCTATTTCTTCCTTAAAAAGGGTATTTAAGAACTAACGTGCTGTACCTCACAGTAGTACCTAGAGTTCAGAATCGAGCTGTACCATACCCCTACAGTGAGCATTTCCCCAGTGGGGCCTGGCTTGCAAAGCCTGTTGCAGTCAAGTTCCCACCCTTGTTTTAAAATAATTACAGTGTATAAGAGGCAGGAAGCATCTCCTAGTGCACCCCTCGTAAAGCAAATACAACTGCGCTGATGAATATATTCAGGCAGAGCAATAGTGGAGGCAATTAAATTAAAAACTTATAGCACAAGGCAGATTTTGGAAACTGGAGAATGAGAGTAAGTAGTTGGTTTCAGTGGTCACTGCAACACTAATAGGTACATTTTTCTTTAACTAGTTCAAATGTATTTAACTGGAAGGGAAAGCTTGATTCAGGTTAAATGAAGTAGTCAAAATTAAATGAAATAACTAAATAATTTTTTGATCTCCTTATGCCAGTGATCTTACAGTTTATAACTCTACAGCATAAATAATTTCATCTACAAAAGAAACAATTAGTTTTTACTGCTGTTTTTCTTAGCCACATGGCCAATACTTTGGTCTTCCCACCCACAGGTGCCTCTAGCGCTGCGTGGGATGCCTTTTTGAAGCCTTAGAACAGCCCCATTTCTAGGCACCTCCCGTCCCCGGTTGCCAGCAGCCTCCCAAAGAGCACTGGCAGAGGTTCCACCCTTGCCCACCTACCTGAGATTCACGGTGGCTGCAGCCGCTCTTGGGAGTTCTCTCTCTCGCCAGCCACCCATTTGCCTTTTTCAGATTAAGGACAGCAAGGTTAAAGGCCCAGGAGGGGTGAGGTATACGATCTTTTAAAATAAGTAGAGGGCCAATTTAACAGATAGTTTGAGGGTAAGACTGCTTACCCTTGAGAAGTCACTTGTGTGCTTAAAGGTTTGAGCATTTCTGAAAGCTTGGTTGTTGAGATGACATAAGTTATTTGTATTGTGAAGCAAAGTATATTTAGAGACACTTGTGCAAATTCCCTTATGTTAGCAAGGCAGAGAGCGTGCTGCTTTGATGGCTAAAGACGAGGATCTGGGTCACTGGCCTAAAACAAACAGCAGGAACCTTAATCTGGGATGCAAACATTTTTAAATGGCACCAAATTAGCGACACCAGGATTAGCCACTTCATCTGTTCATTTGTGTTTCTGGGTCAAAACTGACCCTGAGAATGTCCTGGATGAAAATACTGCCCCACCCCTGCTGGCCAACGGTTCCTCAAATTGAACGTGCAAATTTTACTCTCTGTTCCGACCTAGGAAATGTAACTTTTCCACAATTATTTCTACTCTGAAGTTAATTTTTAACAACACTTACTGTGAAGTCAGACCTTGGCTTCTCGGTAGTATGTATAACCACATACACATCAGCTTCTTTTTTAAAATCAGCATGTGAAGGTACCAGTGAAGGTCTTATTCCTGTAAGTCATCATATTAGTGTAATTATTCATGACTAAGTACAAAGGTGAAGGAAAATAACGTATCCCTAAGAGAGATGGAGTACTCCAAGATGAATGTTCAAGAGCACCTGCCCAGGCATAGTTTCTAACACAAAATACTTCCACCCCTTAGCCTCCCTGTGGATGCTTGTTTCTAGCTGATCTTGCACATATTTTTTTTTCAGAGAGAAATATTGTCAGTAATAAAATATACCAAAACGTAGTCAACGGAGAGGATGTTCTTTGCCTCAAACAAGACATTCTGATTTACTTTGCCCCAAGATGACATAAACCAGGTAACAATAGTCTGAAATTAAAAAGATAACTTGTTTTTCAAAGCTACCTAGGAACAACATGAAGATGAGTTTTAATGTAAGAGCAGTAAGACCTAGAAATTTAGACCTTTTCAATTCTTCACTTACCAGCTTTCATCTAATTTGACATCAAGTGCTGGTCAAAATAAGCCTATTTGTCAAAAATATTTTCATTTTCCAAGCGACATATAATCTGTTTTAAAAATGAGGTGTTAATGTTTTCTTTTTGGAAATTAGAGATAAAGTAAAAGCAGCTTACCATTTCTCCTTTTTCCCCCCCTCTTAAACTCTTTCATATTCAGATGAAGGTAAAATGAGAGATAAATGATGTTTAGAGAGGGCTGCAGTTAAAATACCAAGACTAGTATTAAGAATCATGCAGAACTCTATGGAACAGTTTCCATCAACCCTCAATTTACTTTTTTAGCAAGCAAATTTTATGGTCATGTTCAATTATCACCTAAGGATTAATATTCCACCCTTCTTTCTTCCAATATTATACGTGTTCTGAGGACAAACGGTCTTGATATTATTTTCTAAGTGTGTGTCAAGCTTACGTACTTCAAGTTCCTCTCTTCCCTTTCATAAGTGCTTTGTGGGTTTTTTGCTTGCTGCAAACAAGAAGCTGAAATGGCTATTTGGCCACTACAGGCAGTTAAGAGTTGCACGTGTAAGCTGTCAAAATTCACAGCAGAAGTATTTTGTCTGATGAATTTCAGGCAGCAGTTGAGATTGATTAACAGTGGTTACAGCCATCTTGTCTCCTCACTCACTATACCTCAGCAGTGTATTCAGATAGGAGCCCTGTACTTAACTGCATGCACAGAGAAACACACAAAATCCCAAGCTTCCATTCGTTCCCCAATGAACATATTTAAACAGAATGCTATTTAAAAAAATTAATTGCCACCTATTTTTTGTCATCTGCAGAGTTCAGCCAAGACAGCAAAACACTCACTTCTATTTAAGTAAAACAAGGTTCACAGGAAATAAAATGCAGAGGGGAAATGGTTCAGTTAAAAAGCTTGATAGGGTAGGCATCTTAACAAGTAGATGCTGCTGAAAGATAATTACAGTAGATTAAAAAACATCTTGTAAAGAATGTGATTGGAAACCTATAGGTTGTCATATCAAGTTGTGTTTTTACTTGAACTGCTATTACCTATCCTCGTAACTTTAAAAAAATTATTCAGAATGTCATTTTCTGAGTTTTTCAAATCTAGATGTACATGTCAGAACTATGGATTACTACATTAAATGATGACATTGAGTCTTAAACCTAAAATTTAATTTATTTTATTAAAATAAGATAATCAGAGGAACCTTGGCTTACAATAAATGCATTTTCTCAGGAGCAATAAAAACAAAATTAAAACACAAATCAGCAAGAAAAACTGTATATGCTCAGTTTCCTCTTGATAGTGCATCTCTTGGACGACAGCTTCAGATGGGATGAAGACTATGCTCATTTTGCAGAAGTATATGGATAATGTTAATTAGCCTTTTCTCAGCCACAAAAGCCTGTCTTTCCGCACTTTGGGATGCAAGAAACAAGTCAATAGTACCAAAGTAAGCTGCTGCTTACGTTACTGAAGATGACCATAGCAAGACTGGCTAGCTTCCTTCTCTGAGCAGTACAGTTCAGAATATATTCCATTCTTTTGCAAGAGTTTTTCTTCTATGTGCAAAACTATTGCAAAAACTATTTTGTGTTGAATTAGCATTTTAACTTATTTCATTGGCTTGATGAAAGCTCTTACGCAGGAGCTGATTTCCAGAAAGTTTTTTCTTCTTCCCTCAGTCTGGTTTGCAGATACCCATTTCAGGCAAAACTCGCCCATCCTGAACTGGCACAGGGCATGGAGCAATCAAGGAGCACCATAATGCATCGTCTTTCCTCAAGCGCCGAGGCAAGCCATCCTTGCTGTAAAAAATACCGATTTATCAACAGATTCAAATCAATCCAGAAACACTGCCAAAGAAACATCCATTGCTTCTGCGTATGGGAAAAATAAGGCTCAAGTGCATCTATTAGAAAAATAGTAATAGATCTCTTGATTTATAGTCTGTTAACTATCCCAGTAAAAGAAACTGTAGAAAAAGGCAATGTGGAGCTGTGTCCCTGCAGGATAAGAACTGCAAAAATCTTAGCAGCTTGTTCTTAAAACTGGGATGCAGATAATGCTGCTGGCACTGATCCTGTACACTGAGGCATTAAAAGCACAACTTCTGTTACTTCTGTTCCTTTCCTGTCCCTGGAGAGAACCAGAGAGGGGGAGCACGATCCTAAAACACAGGTAGTCTTGTGGATGTTAATGTGCAAGAATTTATGTCCTCTGTGTGGGCGGCACGATGCAGAGATGGTTCAGAAGCACTCCGGTTGATTTTGGGTAAAGAATGTTGCAACAGTTCAATGGATGACAGTATCTGAGGGAAACACACAGAAAATGTGAAAAGAAGGCTCGTTACAGTTGCTTGTCCTTTTCAGTCTTAAACCTTCATTTATTATAGCTTTAAGCATATCCTTAAGAGCTACAATAGACTATGTAGAGGCACTGAAAGCAACAGTCTAGGAATACGCCATGCAGTTTCATTGCTATGAGGAGTCTGAGTTTCAGAGGATGGGAGAATACTTTTCATTAGTTCACAGACATTATGATCAATTAACAGGCATCTGTGCAATTCTTCAACAGAGTAACAGGGAAAGAATTGCATCTTCTGCCTAACAGTCTGTTTAGAAAACCACATTTAGAAATAACTTTTTAAACAACAAAAGTTAAACTTGATTGTAACAGCAAGAAGTTATTTTTCAAAAATCTGCTGGTATTTAATGCCAGCTATTTAATAAGAAAGTACCTTCATCATCCTCATAGTGACAGGAAAAGGTAAAGTATCCATTGTAAAAATACCAAAAATTGCTACATGAATTTAAATCCCGTGGTGGATATTGTTTGCTTGTTCGTAGTTGTGAGGAAGGAAAGGAGGAACGATCTCTCATTTCCCTCAAACCTACACTAAATCAGAATATAAATGCAAAGATAGATTTGATTTTTATTGTGTTAGGGTTTTTTTTGCTTATCTCTAAAATGGGTCAGCTGTTGAAAAGCAAATTGCTGCAGTGTTAGTCTAACAGTCTGTATGCATAACATTTTTTTAATGACCTTTACAGGAACTATGTAGTCAGAATTACCAACCGCCTAAGGGAGCTGGGTTATGAAAGATGCACATGAATAAAACCAAAAATAGGAAGCAGGCTGCCCTTTATTCCTATGTCTACCTTCAGTTTCTCCATCAAAGCTTGTATCCTTGTAGAATGTTTTGGGTGCTAATGGCTACTTACAAACTACTCTGGAATGGTTATATGCAGAGAACACACTTACTTGTGGAAACAGAGGTCGTTCTTCTCTAACTTTCTTCAAACAGTCTGCTACAAGCCTCTTCATTGCTTTGGGGCAGTTTTTGTACAACTTACTGAGGTCTGGAGAAGCATACCCTCGGCCAACCATGAAAATAATCTGAAAAAGAAGCAGCAGAAAACCAAAGTTGTAAAAGTTGTTTCATTAGTTGATAGCTTTAGTCTCCTAAAGTGATTAAACATGAGTACAAAAGGCACACACACCAGCAGACACTTGTAGATTTGTCCAAACTAATTAAATGAAGCAATGGTCCTACTTTTGGATAATGATCAAATCAGAGTAACACCGTGGTTTTTTTTAACGCTCAATAAGCAAAGGCGCTATTGCATTCAGAATGGAACAGGAGATACCACACGACATGGACATGGCAGTTTCCTCCAGTTGAAGGCTACAAATAATCCTCAATTTGTTACAAGCAGCCAGCCAATTTAGCACAACAGCTTAATTCATCAGTAGAACTGTATTTTCAGGTATTTCTGTAAAAAGTGTTGCAAAAGGAGACATACAGCTAGCAAGGTGAAGGAGATGATCGTAACTAATGGTAACTACTGCAGCAAAAAAGGAAAAAGGGTTTGGTTCGTTTCAAGACAAACAATAAAAGACCTAATTAGTGTTGGAAAATACATTTTCTATTTTAGTCCAGGTTAATATGGTCATTCTTTAGGATTTTCATCAGACTTCCAGTAACCTTAACAGTTGACTATTTACTATTGATAAGACTATTATCTGGTAAAATGGTGGTAGGCTAGGTTGGTTGAGGGGAGTTTGTTTGTTTGAGGGTTTTAACTG